TTTTGGCTTCGGTTTGACCCCATTCTAGACGCTTGTATGTTGATACACGACCTGGGCCTCTGTCGAAGTCGAAGAAACGAACTCGTCGGACGAAGTCATCGTAGCCACCGTATCCGCCCAGTCCGACACCGCCGCCGTAGCACATCCAGAGGGAGGGCTTCGAATTTTCGTCTTGATCGAGCATGCAATAGTCATTGACATGATCACTAGAGAACAGTTAGTTTTTGGGACGACACAAAGGAACCTTCAAAGGCATGAGACTTACTGTCCACAACTAACAAACAATACGCCCTCCTCTTCGAGAGCGTCCTTGAACCTAGAGTTGAACCCTGGCGCAGTGGGAGGTTCCATCCATGCACCCTTAAAGTACTTTCCTTGTGCGCGATATTCAGGGAGCGGAATGTGGATGAATGCCACGTTCATGTGGATATGGTTATATTCCTGGTGTTTCCTTCTCAGGCTTTGGGCGGTGTTCTTGAACCATCGCGTTTGGCTCGGCTTGATCCAATCGTAGCCGCGGAACTGACGCTCGTCAGGGGAGTAGGAATGTGTGTCAAGGAAATAGAGGGTTAAGGCAGAGTGTGTGCTTTTACCCCAATCGAGGACTTCGACAACGTAGTTTCCGACCCCGTCAATGTCTTCGGGGCCGGCGGCTGCAAGAGAGTAAGGGAGGTCTTCGTATATGGTCATGAGTTGTTCTCGGTTGAGGTCACCCTCGTCGTCGTGGTTTCCAAAGATGGCTGCGTAAGGAATCTTGCGATCAACCAAAAGCTTTACAGACTTGTACAGAGCACTTTGTGCATCTGGGGCGGTCTCTCCGTTGATCTGGTCACCAGAGAAAACCACCATGTCCGGCTTCTCTTCGTCGAGAAGTCGTTCAACGAATTCCAACGTTCGGGGATCGGCTTCACACTTCTGGCCAGCTACCGCTTCCGCAGGAACAGGGTCACGACAGTGGCCGAGACCGGTGCTCATGTGGAGATCTGCCAACTGCATCACTTTAAATTTCCCGTTCTCGTTGATTCGGGGAACGGGTTTCTTGGGTTTGGCCGGCGGGTGTCCTCTTCGAATACTAAGGCGAGTCTCCAATTCTTCCGTCCGACTATCCAGGAGAATTGGGGTATCTTTGACTTCCCAGTTGGGACGAGGATCAACAGCATCCGCTCCGTAAAGGACATCGATGTAGGTCACGGCGCTTTCGGAGTCGCTAGCATGGCGAGAGGACGAGCGCTTGAGCCAAATGCCCCCCGGTCGGGGTTCCCAGGCTTCGATCTCGGTCTTTCCCACAAATTCAGACGGGGGAGTGAGACGACTGATTTTCAAGTCGATGACCACCTTGTCATCAGAGCCCAATTCCTCCTCCTTTTTCCGCCTGAATTGAACGTAGGCACTCGAGGTCCAGCCCGAGCGCAGGTAGAGGTCCTTGTCGACGCGGTACCAGGTTTCGGGGTCTAGCTTGCAGCTCGAGAATGGATTGAGGGAGGAACATGTTGTGACGGTCACGTCTGTGATCACGTAGCCGGAATAATGCGACGGAAGATGGCCATGGATTGAAGAGGGAAGGACACTAAATCGATTGTCGAGAATGACGATGACGAGGAGAATGAATGTTGCGAATAAACCGAGCTGTACACTCGCTCGGACCTACACAAATTAGATGTTAGAAAAACGGCTTCACAGGGAGTAAAATAATGTCATACTAGCCGGCGAGCCATGATGAGATTGATATCACCCTGGCAAGGACTTGAAGACAAGCGAGATGCCCTGTCGCATGATGCCCACGAATTGCAGGGGTATAGGCCAAAGGAGAGGACCAAGATCGGTCAACTCTAGGATATAAAGGACAGATATAAATTGTTTGGAGGATTGAAGTTCGCAGTTCACCCTCGACGCTTGGACCCTGAAGGCGGTGACTCCTGAAGGGTTGGTCTAGCCTTCTCCCGATGTTTGGTGTTTGTGTTGGTGATTCATTGACTTGACTATTCTTACCATTTCACAGATATTCTCATTAACATTGTTTAAATTTACGTGGAATTTATGCCCATCGTCAATATTCATGTCTGTCTAGATGCAAGTCTATACCGGTCTACCTCCATTCTACAGGCCGAGCGAAGCCTTGGCAGCCACCTCACCAGCTGACACCTTGCCGTTCAAGATGTCTTTGGAAGTTGAGAGGATTGTGGACCAATTTTCGAAAGTCGTGTAGGGCATTCCCTTGCGCTGGCAGTAGGTCACCAGATCTGCAACAGCGTTAGCTCAGTGTCTCAGAATCCGGGTTCAAGGCAGTTCGGGCAGATGAATACCTTTGCCTTGCTTGGCGAACAGAAGATCAGTTTCAGCAGCCGCAGACAAATCAGAAACACCGTCTCCGGCGTATAGAAGAATCGGGCGCTCTCCGTCGGGCAATGCGGCATAAGGCTTGATCTCCAGGGACTTGTCATGCCCGAAGTGGCTGGTGATTGTTTGTCAGTGAGGCTGGGGAATGATGATCGGATTGACACTTGCTCACCTGCTATCACGGTACTCAATCTGCCAACCACCCTCGCTATTGATATCCTTGCCATCCCGGCTCGCAGGCTCGTTGGAAATGATGGTGAGGTGGCTGGCTGGCTTGTGACCGAGGAACTTCTCTAATAAGGCGCTGATAATGGGTCGCATGCCAGATGACAAAACGACAATGGGAACATTGTTATCCTTGGCCCAGTAGTAGAATTCCTCAAAGTACGGGTCCAGCTTCATGTTCTTTAACAGGATCTCGATGCACTCGTCGTATGGGGTCTTGATGCTTTCAAGCATCTCGCGGAAGGCATCCCTACAAGGAAGAAAGGTCCGTTAGGGATTGCTTGTGGAATCGACAGTGTCTTTAACACTCACCGGAAGCTCAGAGTCTCGTCAAGGACCCGGTTGCCCAATACAAGGCGCTTTTCCCGGCCGAAACCAAGGTTATCGATCTGAGTGGTGTTAGTGAAGACCTAAGAGATGGCAGTACTGCGACATACCATGAAGTCATTGCCTGCAATTCTAGTTAGCATTCAAGTACTGGCACTTTGTGGGGAAGCACCTACTGTCGTCGACTGTAATGGTCCCATCAAAGTCGGTGAAGAAGATGACCTGAGGCTTAGTCTCGATGTATGGGAGAGCGTTGGAACCCATGATCACTAGATATATAGCAATGAAAATGAATCCAAATGTATGTACAATCCAAAGAATGAAGAAAAGCAAGTGCCGAGATTAAAGATGTGCCCCTCGATTCGGTGACTGGGGGTGGGTCGGGGCGGTACCGCAGCCGGCTAGTCTCGATCCGCCAGATTTTCCCATTTCTGTTTATGCCAGGCCTATTGGATTACTTTATATTGCTCTAGATATGTCTCGTCTGCGCCAGGCCCTGCAGCGCGTCTTTGGCGTGAGTCCGCCACCAGGAACCTTGCGCTCCCGAACGATTGACACCAATTTTTCCATTATAAAAGGTAATTGTGTTGCAACGCCTCTTCCCAACATCGCGCTAACGAAATGTGCAGAGGGAGACCGAGTCATTTTACACGGCAAACAGCCCTCATTGTCAAAAGCATTGAAGCGAGGTGAAAAGCTCCAAACCCCTCGCGGGGCAGTGGAACATGACAGTATCATTGGGAAACGGGTCTGGGACACCGTACAGTCTCGCAAAGGTCAATAACACCCACTTTTCGGTATTTCCTGGGCATGTCACTAACATTTCCATTATCTACAGGCCTGAATCTTCGAGTCAGCCTCCCAACATTGGAAGAATACGTCGCCCTGACCCCTCGCTTGGTCACGCCGGTATGCGCATCACTCCTATGGATCAAACACGGAGATACATTGGACTCACGCTATCCCAGTAGATCTATCCACAGGATGCCAATTTGATTGCTTCCCTTCTCGACATTCATGTCAACCCTCCCGCCGCGGGCGAAATACAGCCCACCATGGAAATCCTCGAGTCCGGAACAGGCCATGGATCCTTGACACTACACCTGGCGCGTGCCATTCACGCAGCCAACACCACCCCTCCGCCTCGTCCGTCGCGATCCCAGATCAACTACCTAGAAGGACGTGTCATCAGGCCGAGTGAAAAGGACACGGAACCAACAGAAGAGAAACCCACTGAGCCAGTTGCGGATCCAGCACAGGAGGAATGGGATGCATGGCGAGCGCAGCGCAACGCCGTCATTCACACAGTCGACGTATCGCCGAAGTTCTCTGCGCTGGCCGAGAAAAACATCCGGGGATTCCGCCGTGGAATCTACGCAGGCAACACTGATTTCTATGTGGGCCCCGTCGAAAACTGGATTGCCCAGCAGATGCAGCTGCGGAAAAAGACTGGCCTGGCATCACTGACTGGGGGCAACCCTGTCGATCCGTTCCTTTCACACGTCATTCTGGACATGCCTTCCTCAAACTTGAGGATCCCGCATGTTACCCCGATGTTGAAGCGTGATGGCCTCCTGGTGGTGTTTATGCCTAGTATTACGCAGATTGGCGAGTGTCTGCAACTGATCCGGGACCAGCGACTGCCCCTTGTTCAGGAGAAGGTGATCGAGCTTGGCTCTGGAATCAGCGGTGGCCGCACATGGGATGTGCGTTTTGCGACTAAAAAGTCCGGCGCTGACCCCGCATCCTGGGCTACCCCTTCAGATGCTGAGATTTCCACTCCTGCCGAGGCTGACGAGCAGTCCAGCACTTCTGATACTGTTTCTGAGGTGTCCACCACAGATGAGCCTCCCAAGGAAGGAGAGTCTGTCTTGGTCTGCCGGCCCAAGGTCGGACTGCGTATCCAGGGCGGTGGCTTCGTGGCGGTCTGGCGGCGGATCGAAGACCGTTAAGTTCTCGGTCCAGCTGCCCCAAGCATATAAATCTTGTACTATATACCTGTATTCTATTGCATGTCTGATATAGACCGAACCCATTTGTACCATATAGAGAATTGCGAAAATAATATTAACGACATGCTTGAAAACATGTCAGAACAAGAAAGAATCACTTCACAGCTTCGCTTTACCCTCGGTCTCCACATCCTGATGAACGGCAGTGTCGATGCCACCTTCACCCTCAACACGCTCTACCTCATCCTGAACAACCTCCAGTCTCGTCTCAGGCACCTTAGTCAAAATCCAAGCCTTCACATCCGCAAAGAACCTCTCCGTCGTCTCAGGCAACTCGTCATGCAACTTATGATAAGCCCCCTCATAAGAACAAAACTTCACATCCCCACCCTTCTCAGTCAACGCCTTAACAAAGTCCTTGGTCGCAGGATAACTAGTAATGAGATCCCCATCGCCATGTCCAAACCAAAACGGCAGCTCAGTCTTCGCCCAAGCCCCATCCCCAGCCGCAAACATCCCCTCCAACCAAATCCCCCGATCCAACATGCCAGCCAACCCTTCAAAAGTACCCGTATCATGGCACAGCGTATCAGCCACGAACTCCTTGACCACATCCTTGTTACGGGACAGCAGATTCGCATCGAGCGGGGAATACCGCTGCTTATGGGGAATCAACTTTGCGACAAGTCGCCCGGCTGAGACTGTCAGTTTTGAGGGGCGGGAGGATGGATCTATGGCGATTAGAGGGGAGTACAGAAGCACGCCGGCGAACTTGGGCCGGTTGGATTTGTCTCCGTTGTAGGGTGACTCTGGGTGGAAGATGTAGTTGAGGACTTGGCCGCCGCCCATGCTGTGGCCCATTAAGAAGAGGGGCACGTCGGGGCGGGATGGTAAACTTTGCAAGAAAGAGTGGATGTCTGAGAGGACTTGGGAGGTTGTGCCTGTGTTACCACGGTCGCGGGAATTTTTGACACTACGGCCCCAGCCTCTGGTTTTGGGTTGTTAGTTAGGGGGGTTGTTTATTGTGAAACAGGTTGGTTCTTTGCGGGTATTTATATTGAATACCAGCATGTGGTTGACATTGGTGGTTTAGCACTTACCGCTGATCAAAAGACCTGACTTCAACGCCTGCTGACACTAGAGTTGGAAACAGATCGTGGTAGGCATTGCCTAGCATGGGTTTATGTCAATATTCTGTTTATGGACCTTTACTGTCTTGGCTTATTTTGCTCATAGACATAATAAACTCACAGTGGTCACTGAAGCCATGGATAAAAGCCAAAACAGCAAGTGGAGACCCACTGGTCTATAGAGTAGATCGCCTTGTTAGCTTTGGAAATCAATATCTTGGGGTTGGGGTCCATCTCGGCTTATCCAGATGGGGATCAAAGCCATGTTGCAAATTCAAACATACCTTCCATGTCTTGGCATACAGCTCAAGTCCGTCTGATAGAGTATGTACGCTTTCTTCTGTGCTCATTTTGACTGTTGGTGCTTGTACAAGAGCTTGAGAGGTGGTTAGAAAAGAGACGGAGTGCACGTTTTTAATCTGGATAGGACACGGGACCTCGGCAGGATTGTCAAGCCAAGATACTAACGTGATTTGGATCCACCAGGTCCCAACTTTTATACTAAACCCTATTTATGCAAAGTTGTATCCTAACACAATAATTAATACTCCGTATACAAAAGTAAGATAAAAATTACAAATTGATACAATCCCAGAAATATCAAGCATATCCCATTTCCTAGACGTCAGCTGTAGATTCTGCGCCCCTTTTCTCTGGTAAAGTTTGGCAGCAACTTTGGTCAACTGTGACTGCCCCTTTTCCTCTTTTCATTTGACTCATTTCTATTGTATTAAATCCATGATCGCACTGCCCCCAGAATCCCTGTAGTACCTTTAGACCTCGGGAAGAATCCGAGGTTCGGATTTCAGTGGGCAAGAGCCTCTAGGGATCCATGGGTCTTTGAATCCACTTTTTAGGATTTTATTGGTTCCTGCTTAACTATGTCTCGTCCAATCACATTTTGCTAGTGACATGCTTCTCGAGGGCTATACTATATCATCCCAAATCACTGTCAATCTCTTGACTGTCTTATTTTTTTGGTTACCTTTTAACCTTGGAATCTATGCTATATTACATTATACAAAGAGTGCCCTCGATACTTAGGCCAGCAATCTCACAATCTCTGCTGCGCCCCAAATATTCAAAAAGGATGTCCTCCGCCGTTCCTCGAGTTGTTACAAACACCCACCAACCCGATGTCTCATATCGATCTCTGGCATTATCCCCGAGTGAAGATAGCCCGGATATCCGCCAGAAGTATCGACCATTCATCCTTGACAACAATGCAACTGAGGACTGGGTCAACAACTTAGACTTGACCACCGCAGCGGACATGGCAGAACAAAACCTACGGGTTACAAATGAGAGGCTGAAAGTTCTGGTACTTTATGGAAGTCTTCGCAAAAGATCATATTCCCGACTGGTGGCATTGGAAGCTTCCCGTATCCTTTTCCGACTTGGCTGTGACGTACGCGTCTTTGACCCCGAAGGTCTTCCTATGAAGAACGAGAGCGACACAGCCCATCCTAAAGTACAGGAGCTCCGCGAACTCAGTGTATGGAGCGATGGACATATCTGGGTCTCGCCTGAACAGCACGGAAATTTGGTGAGTGATTTTCTCACCCATAGTCTGAACATTTAATGCATTATTTACTTACGTGCTTTCCCGCAATGTTAGACTGCCGTATTCAAAAATCAGATCGATTGGATCCCTTTGTCTACTGGAAGTGTCCGTCCCACCCAAGGCCGAACGCTGGCTATTGCCCAAGTGTGCGGCGGGTCCCAATCGTTCAATGCGGTCAACTCTTTACGTATCCTTGGTCGGTGGATGCGTATGTTTACGATCCCGAATCAGTCCTCGATCCCGAAGGCATATACACAGTTCCCGGATGAAGGTCAACCGGGAGATCAACGACTCATGCCTAGCGGTAACAGAGATCGTCTAGTGGATTGCATGGAGGAGTTTGTCAAATATACGATTCTTATGCGGCCTCACATCGGTCTTTTTAGTGACCGTTTTAGTGAACGGGAGGAAAGGAAGATAAAGGAGGCAAAGCTGCTTGCTGCGAAATCCAGTTGAAAGACATAGAATAATATAGAGAGTTTTAGAGAGAGAATATACTATGGTATAATTGCTCAACATGTTTTGTTCGACTAGCAAGTCGACAACTCCTCTGGCTAAGCCTAGGACTGTACAACATTAGAAGATATGGAAGTTGTATTCACATTGAAAAATTTGTTAGCACATTTCGGTCGTCTAGTCGGGCAGTGACCAATCATACGAGGCGAGTGATACTATCTCAAATGATCCGAGGACTCAAGTGTTCCATGATATTAACTCAACTAATATCTACAAAATACCCCTTACCCATCATCTGGTCCTTCGATCGATTCCGTTATATTCCCTTTTCGATCCGTTCATGCTTTAGAAAAGACCAAGAGTTCTCCCAGCAGCGTAAATTCACTTGCATGTCTAGGGTGCCTGACATGCAGAAGACAGTGTATATTATGGCTTCATTCCATTCCTCGGTCAGCCCATATCTGTAGCTTTAGGCAGCCCGGTCTATGTCCAAGCTCATCGAAACTATTAGCCCATTTTTCATCTTTTTGGCCAGTGGTATTCTTTCTTGCCGATCATTCATGCGCAAATAGCGACGCCAAGAAACAGTGACATACTACATTCGGCAAGTCGAGGGTCGTAGCCATAAGTTGAGATAATCTCTAACTTTTGTTAAATATTTCTCGCTTCCCTCCCTATGCATATGTAGGTTATTGGGAGTTGAACCATATTCGACAACCGAGGCAATCCCCCACGGAGACTTTGTTCCCTTGTTCCCCGCAGTTTCATGTTTATACTATACAATGTCGCTTTCTTCCAACATCTCTCCACCCCCAGACGGCGGGTACGGCTGGGTGTGCGTGGCTGCATGCTTTTCTATAAACTGCTTCACTTGGGGTGCAGTCTCTGTGCGTTATCTCTCCATCAATCGCGTCAACGGCAACTAAGCTCATGTTCTAACAGTCATATGGCGTGTACTTGGCACACTATCTCTCGAACAACATATTCCCTGAGGCTACCCCCATGGACTTTGCACTAATTGGGGGTTTAAATTTCTCCATGGCGATGTTGGTAGCGCCTGCTGTTACAATCATCGCTCGCAAGTACGGCACCCAGTTACCGATGTTGCTTGGTCTGGGGCTTTTGGCATCGGGGTATGTCTCTGCGTCCTTTTCACAAAGAATATGGCAGCTTTATCTGTCACAGGGAGTCTTGATCGGATTTGGGGTTGGGTTTATTTATATACCAAGCATTCCAGTTCTCTCTCAGTGGTTCGATAAGAAAAGAAGTCTTGCCAACGGGATCAGTGCGGCCGGGTCAGGTATTGGTGGCTTGATTTTTTCGTTTATGGATGGTTCAATCATTCAGAAGATATCTCTTGCTTGGGCTCTACGATTTACAGCTATCATCAGTTGCTCGATACTAATCATTGCTATTTTACTAATTCGAACTCGCAACGAAGCTATACAGCCGTCCCAGCGGGGATTTGATGTGAAACTCTTACGTCGTTTAGACGTGCTTCTATTGCTATCATGGGCTTTTCTTAGTATGCTTGGCTATATTTGTCTGCTGTTTTCACTTCCGGATTATGCACGCTCCATTGGACTCTCTGACAACCAAGCTACAGTTGTCAACGCGATCCTAAACTTGGGAACTGCTGTTGGTCGGCCACTGATTGGTGTTTCCAGCGATTGCTTTGGCAGGATTGAGGTCGCCGGTCTCTTGACTTGCTTTTGTGGCATTACTTGTTTTGTCATTTGGCTTCCCTCGGCATCATATGGTGCGCTTGTTCTCTTCGCTTTCATTAGTGGGGCTATTCTCGGGGTCTTTTGGGTTGTAAGTTGATACGGCCCATACTTATTCTGCGTGATTGCTGAACTAATGTTCCTACTAGACCGTGGGACCTTTATGTGTTGAGGTCGCTGGGTTGGAGCAGCTCCAATCACTCCTCTCTCTATCTTGGGTTTTTACTGTGCTCCCTACAACATGTAAGGTCTTCACATACGTACCTGGAGACCGTGAGCTAATATCAAATTATATATAGTCTCCGAGGTTATAGCACTCAAACTACGCCGCCTTGGGTCCTACCAACCATATCGAAACGCCCAAGTATTCTGTGGTATCTCCTACATTTGTGCCAGTATGGCTTTACTGTCTCTCTGGATGATTAAACGACGGAAAGTACAAACAGGGGTCTAGAAACAGATAGGGACACCTAATCCAAAAGAGCTGGTTTGAGTGGTTTGAGTGTTTATATTGAAACAGAAATAGTCGGCCGCTTATACGGCCTTGTCATGTCTTTTTAGATATCTACTTAGATGTATTGGAAGACATTAAAAAAAAGCACGAACTGTGCAGAGGACCTTTCTGCTTTCCACCACGTAGAACGTTCAGCGGTTTACTTATGCTCCTGCAGTATATCCGTTTAGGTCATGGATACAGTTTCTTAAAAGCGATATATTGGCTACAATGCTCAATTTAGGATTTGTGCAGAAGATTTCCCATTTGATGGAAAATGTATATAACTATAGACTGCGGGACCTAACAACCTGTCGTTGTTGATTGCAGTTGCAAATGCACTGAGCGGTTGCATAAAATCAATCAGTGGGCACTAATTTAAAGTCTTGCAGAATTGAAGTCATATGCTTCTGCAATAGGAGCTTTGATATGATGATCGTTAGAGTCTCTGAAATCCAAATGTTCTCAAATCACGCTTCGATATCTTCTTCCATCCTTTCCAGGTGCTGTAAGCCCTCCCAAAACTCCGCGACCAGGACGTCTTGGTAGGTCAATAAAGCAGATTAACTAAACTCCACATTTCTCATCGTCTGCGAAGATAAAAGTAAAAGCCTCAGGGGTCTGTGGTACCGACCTGCACATCCACGACGGTGAATTTGGAGCTCGGGTAGGTCGAGTCACAATTCCGCATTCCTGATAATGTCTGATCACATACTCTAGTTCCCGCTCATTCCCGGTCACGAGACTGTGGGAGTAGTTGCAGCATTTGGTAGAGACGTCCAGGGCTTCACAATCGGAGACCGCGTGGTAGCTGATAACTCCGAGCTATGTGGGCATTGCCACTATTGTCATCGGGGCAAAGAACTGTTCTGCGATAATTTCATCGCCCATGGCGTTATGGTTGACGGGGTTTTCGCGGAATATGCTGCGTATCCAGCACACCACGTATTCACGTTCAAGAACCTGTGTGACCTGGATGCCACACTTTTGGAGCCTGCGGCGTACGGTGTTTACAAGGACGATGACCGTGTCTCCCTATCGCCGAACACGATGTTCAAAGAAGAGATAAATGTGCTTGGCTCCTTCAGTCAGACCCATAAATTCCCTACTGCTATTGATTACCTTGGTAAGTGTCCAACTATTTCTACAATTGCTTATAGAAAGCGCGTTAAAGTTGACGGTATTGTTAACAAGACATTCAAGCTGGAGGAGTGGCAGGCATGCCTTGATGCAATGAAGAATAAGTCAGTAATTAAGGCTGCTATAGTGTTTGATTAGAGGGGCGAGCGGTGCCGACTTGATCGACTGTGAACTAGTATTTTACTAGCCTCTCTTCTCTATTCTTATTCTTCTGGCTATGCTCTTCAATTACTGCGAAAGGCGAGGGTGAAATACCCATGACAATATACACCATTCCGACAAATCGGCCAGTGTTGGGGGGCAGGGTGGTTCAGGACCCGCCGAGTCCTCGTCTCGCGGTCGTCGCCGACACGAACCTGCACGGTATAAGTATACTCCTTTCCTATAAAACTCAAAGCAAATTCCCACGTTAGAAATAACCACATCTAGTTTACCGAAGTCTTTCTAGACCTTATAGTTACGGCTAGTATCTAGGATTATCCAACAGAAACTATACGATACTACTATTAGTAGAAGACCTAACCTTAACCTACGATAGTGTTTGAAACCAACCAATTCAATAGAATTGCCAATAAAAAGTATTTAACCTAACAATACAAAATTCAAAATAATATCTAATTTAAACAGATCGGCCAAGCTCAGAGTCGAAAATCCCTGAACTGGTCGGGGTCCGCGGACCCCGACGTCAGCCTGGCCTGTCTGTGTTTTTTTATACATCTTACGCAGAGTCACAACCATCCTTTCCGGTACCTTTTATGATAAAGATCCAAACAAAAATGTCTACATTCAATGGGTTAGAAATAACAACGGTAAATCCACCCATCTTACTCCTACCGAAACCCCATCTAACCCAATCAGGCCTCAATAATCGCCGCGGTAGCCAGCGAAGGTGCCATCCACCCAATGGACACAGTAATAACACGCATGCAATCCCCAATGTACAGCAGCGTCTATAAGCACCTAAACGGCACACTCAGCCGCACCCTCTTCAGCGGGCTGTACCAAGGTTTCGGACCAACCTTTGTCGCAGGCACACTTTCATCAGCGGCTTTTTTCACAGCATACGAAGCCTCAAAGACAGCGTTCGATAATGCACAGTCCGCTGGATATATGCTCGGCGTTCCGCGGCCGTTAATCCACATTGCTAGCAGTGCTGTCGCTGAACTGCTGGCTTGCGCTATCCAGAACCCGGCCGAGGTATTGAAGCAGAATGCTCAGGTTTACCAGCGGCCAGTTAGTTCTAAACGGGGCCCGTCTCCGACGATGGAGATGATGCGTCAGTTTTGGAAATATCCTTCTGGCTTGTGGGCTGGGTATGGTGCGTTAGCGGCGAGTCAATTACCGAGTATGTGTCTTACGTTTTGTTTGTATGAGAGGTTTAAGGAGGATTTGCTTGAGCGGTGGAAGACAGACAAAAATGATGTGAGACAGCAGATTGAAGCCACTGTTTTGGGTGCTGGTGCTGCGGGGGGTTGTGTATCGTGGTTCTTTGTTCCTATCCATGTGGTTAAGACGAGGATGAGGCTTGCGGCTGGTGAACAGACAGGCGGTACCCAGTCAAATCTCAAGGGGAAACCCGGTTTACCGTCCCGTGTTGGGGCATTTTCTATTGCTCGAGATGTGCTACGGAAGGAAGGGGTGGCTGGGTTGTTCCGGGGATCTACTTTGACCTGCGTGGCAGCGGTTGTGGGGAGTGGACTTTATATTGGGTGTTACGAGGGGGCTAAGATATACTTGTGCAATTATCAAGCCTCGTAGTTGGCACGGTTGGAGATTATTCCGGGCTAAATGTATTATAAGATATGTATAATAGAATAGAATCACTCTCCTCCTTCTGTCTTATAACAGACTGGAAAGCAGGAGTCGCCCATTAGAAGTATAAAATGCAAAGGCACCCTTCCATCGTTAAATTGTAAGGCGCTCATTGACTACAAAAGGTGCGTGCAGAACAGGGTATCGGGGAATAAGAGCTAACATCAGACTTATTAGCTCTCCATAGGGTTACACCAAATGTCCTTTGCAGATGTTGTGCGTATTGGCCTATCCGAATCCTGGGCATATTCCACGTGCTATATGGCACATACCTACTACACAAAGTACACGATAGTCCGGGGAATCATGTCTGTATTACAGTGTCACAAATAAACAAGCATGTGCCTAAGACTTCGTGGGGCATCTTGGCCGACATTTACCAGTAATTCTACTGTCTACAAAAGAACACCGAAGACTGAAACTGAACAAAGCCATGCTCTATTCTTGGTTGAGCCTCGCATAGGACGAAGGGCACAATAAACACGTACAAAGAACAGACAAAACTCCCTTCGCCTGAAAAAAAAAGAAAACGACGAAAAGCAAACCTCGTCACGGGCAAAAAGCAGATACCCTTCACCACCTGTTCCGCCCGAACACCAATCCCCGATCCTAAGCGTCGTGAAGCCGTCTCAGATGAGGTTAGAGATTAGGTGAAATGAAACCGAGATAAATCAGGAAACTTAAACGGAAGAAGACACAGGAGATGTAGAGCGTGAGGTTGAGGACAAAGAGGGGGAGATTTGGAGGGAAGAGGGAATGCCAGGGAGTAAATGGAGACTGGTCACGCCGTTTCACTACATCCAACGAACACGAGACAAGACCATCCATCGTTCGAGGAACAGATACCCCCGCTAGCAAACCAAGAGGATACAGAGGAGGATAAGCAAGAGGAAACGGAAGGACGTTCATAAGCAGGAAAGAAAACACAAGAAGGAAGAAAAAGAAATACGTAAAGAAACACCATAAGACGGCTGGCTAGAGAGCCACCACCCAAAAAGATTCCGAAATAACAAGCACGAAGGAAAGAAACTGAAACCGGTTGGAAAAACACCCCATCTCCGAAGATTTCAAATGCTCCATGTCATCAGTGCCGTTGTGGTCCAAAGTCTGCCTCTACCACCTTACCCTTCTTGCCCTTTACCGTAAACTCCGCAAGCAACGCAACGTGATCACTAGGGAAGTGGAAATTCGGGAACCCGGGCACGCGGCGCAGATATTCCTTGTCCACTTCGCCGAGCAACGCCGACACATGAAGAGTGTTGGAAGAGTACCAAATGTAGTCGAGAATGGCCGTGAAATCGGAAGTGTAGTTGGTGAAGCTCAGCTCTCCCATGGAGGAGTACGCTGACTTCAGCTTGAAGGGATGTGTCATACCAACCCGGCTGAGATTTCCGTAAAGTCGCTTCTCTAGATCGGGATGGGCTTCGGGAAGTCGTCCAGTGGAGATCAAGTTGTAAGCCGCAGACCCTGGTGAGGAGTTGAAATCACCGCACATGAGAACAGGGATCTGATCACCACTGGTGTACTCCATCGATGGGGCCGGCTCCACCACGGGCGCGCTCTCTGAGCCACTTTCGGCCTCTGAGAAGCGGAATGCGGTCTTGTCTGTGCAGGCGGGCCATTTGGCGTAGTTATCCGAGAGTTTGGTAATCTCCTCCATCAAAATCGCAGTCTGAATGAGCTTGACGTCCTTGAAGGCCGGATCCCAATACAGATGAGCGTTCACGCTGATGAAGCGAGCACCGGTTTGCCGGTTTTCCAAGAAGATCACAACGGCGATGTGGTCCTTCTGCCACAGTCGGTTGTAGATATCATCTTGGCCCTTGGCGTCGGGTCGACGAACGGCTGTCTGACCAAAGTTGATCAATTGCTTGTCCAGCAGGATGTACTTGCTTCCCTTGAAGAATGTGGCACATCCATCAACCATCCGGGCGTCTTCCTCTTGCATGCCCATTGCACGACCGCGTGGCCAGTAGACACCCTTATAGTCATTGTAGGCAAGCTGCTCCCGGAAGAAATTGTTGTAACTTCCCTGATCAACCTCCTGAAGGCAGACAATATCTGAGTTGTGGGATCGTAATTCGTTAAGAATAAGCTCGCGGCGGAATTCCCAGGAAAGGACACGCGAGGGCACATAGCCGTAATGCGATTGGGTCGCAGAAGAGTCACACAGGGTGTTGTACGACAGTACGGTGATCTTTTCCGTATTACTGTTGGGCGAGGTTGAAGTATCATCGAGGATCACCCAGTCACGGTCAGGGGGAGGTAGGTGGACTGTAATGACGAAGTTAGCCCAAAAAAATCACACGCAAATATGCTCGAAAGCGGAAGAAGCTGTTGAAACGCACCTGGCATCTCTTCTTTTAGGTACTTGATGAGAGCCTTGGTTCCGTCCTTCATGATCTGAGATTTGAGGACATCGTTCAGGGGATTGCCTTCGATGCCCAGTGTTTCCAGCCGGTAAAGGTAACCCATTTCGTAAGGGAGGGTGCGAATGTTGTTATCAAAGAGAAGGAGTTTCTTCAGGTTTGAAAGCATGCCAAGTTCTTCTGGCAGCTCCGTCAATTCATTCCCTGACAGATCCAGATGATTCAACTTCCGCAGTTGTCCAATAGCCGGGGGCAGCACCTTCAACTTGTTAGAGTTAAGGTACAGCTTCTCAATGAAGCCATAGTTGAACAGTGAGGTAGTCAAAGCGCGTAATCCTTGGCCACCGAAATCAAGCGCATTCCAACCCTGTCGACTAGCTGGCTTTCCTGCAGATGCACCATTGCGTCCATCCGTCCCATTCTCTGTGTCAGTGTTGCTGGAAATGAGTTGGATTCCTTTCGTTTGTTGCGCAATGACGCGGGCATGGTAGTGGGGAGAAGTGGCTTGTCTCGATTCCGCCGCAAGCTGGAGCTGCTGCTGCCAATGCTCGTTCATTGATTCATCAAGATCATCGTCCGCGGTCGGTACTCCGTTCTGCAAATGCGTCGATGTGAAATGGGAGGTTGTCGTAGTGCCCAGTGCGCCGCCGGGGAAATTGTGCTGATGAGTGAGGTTGTGGGTCGCCTGCGTGTGGTGGGCATGATGGTGCGGTTGTTGTGTGTGATGAGAGTGGTGGGTTTGCGACTGGAACTTGGGGATCGGCATGCCAAACCGCTGGTGGGCTTGACCGCCATTCATCATGACATGCTGACCTTGGTGAGTTTGGCCGTACATGTTGTTAAAAGGGCTGAGAGCAGCAGCCTGGTTTAGGGCAGGGGATCGAGAGGGGGAGGGGGTGTCGTTGTTGAATTTCAGTCGACCCGTCGGAGAATTGGTCCCGTTTCGAACGATGTGTCGCTGGTGAGGGTTCTGCTGTGCTTGAGCTTGGAAGTAGAACTGCCCGGCCCCAGGCTGCTGGAACCTGTAGGTACCATCTGCCATTTAACGTGGCAGACGAGACCGTGTTTTGTTTCCCTGGTGGAAAACCTGTTGGTTGGTGGGCGGCGCTAAGTCGAGTTGGGACGAGGAGAGGAGAGGAGAGGATCGGAGACGGTCTCTTCTCTTCTTCCACATAGAGGCCTAAGGCAAAACCACCTGTATCAAACCACGATTGAAGGTCGGTGACTTTGGCACTGGGAGTATCTTTAGGTGTACAATGGAGCGGTACCTAAGGGCGGAGATTGGGCGGAAGGGTCAAAAGAAGGCGTGATCGGAAAAGTAAAAAGAGATCGAGTGATGGGGGAGTCGAAGAAAAACCAGTGGGGTAAGATTGACGTAGCAAAGATGAGCAAACCAGACGATTGTCTCCAGGTCGATGAGGACGTCTTGAGATGACACTGGTGGTTTGCAGCGAGGCGGGAGTCACGGGATCACGTGAATCGCCGCAAGGGCTTTGAGCTTGACTTGCCAAGACACGGTCGATGTTTCTCAAATGTTTGATGTTTTCTTTTTTATGAAAAAGTGTGAAATTGATCATATATTCTTCATTCATGGCGCACCTTTGCGTTACTTTTGCGATGGATGGGACTGTTTATATGAAAACCACAGCCATGTGGTCGACTTTGCCTACCAAAACCATATACGCAACGGGTCTTTGGCAAGTCGAACCTGCATCAGATTTTGATTCTGCCTAGAAATCTTGTTTGAAGCTAGCCAACACCACTGGGGGTATAGATGAAAGCAATCTGGGTTTAAGGGGGATATATAACCAAGGGGTGCAGCAAAGAGGGAAACAGACCAACGACAGAAGATTGAAAGAATGAACAATGGCCTGATCTATTTTAAGCCCTCGCTAATAATATCCAATACCTTCTAAATTTGAGTCTGATCTTTTGATTTTGTTCTATGTAGGTGTTGGAGAATTATAGAACCTTTGTGTCAAAGTAGTTCGGGTTCAGGTCAGCTTCCCCTTGGCATGAACTACTTGAGCGAGACGGAAAAGCCACTAAAGGGCTAATTCTTGCTCAATTTCACAAATTTCATATCGTATGATTAGGAACAGAATGCAACCTTGGAACGCCGGTAAATTATATTATATTACTATAGTGATCGTAGGCGAATGCCTTATAACACCATCTTATAGCATGGTATCTATGCGGAGTATGATGTAGAAAGAATCGCTATTGAATCACTATTAAATGATGTTTAGGTGATGTCTAGATAGAGGTTTTTAAAGATAATTTCAGTCGTCAAATGACGCCTGCACAGGTTCTGTATAAGCCCTAGTGAATATAGAGATATCATTCAGATGAGAGATGTATAGCTTCTGCAAGGTAGCACAGACCTAGTATACTCGCATATTCCCCAAAAGGGATACATCCGACTTAAGGCAACCACAACGCTCCATATACACAGTTTAGTTACCTTCATCTTACCGGTCATATTTGCCTCTTCAACTCCGCTTATTCCGGTGTCTTGAAAAAAAAAAACCGAACTAGTCCTAATCAAAAGTACGTGGCAGACGCTATTGTGTCGATCGAATTTTCGTATCATTCTGCAGGTACGTTTAATTTTAATATCGAGCGGAAAGGGCACGGATCACAGTGCAGACTAAGACGATCGCGCGGAATAGCCGATAACACAGACAAGTGCGTGGGACTTAGCGTTACGGGGTACTGACTCCGAGGTATCAGATAGAGAGACAATGGCGAGCTAAGTCTCAGAGTTGTCGGGGCCCAGACTGCGGATCCAATTATTAGACCACCTCCCTAATATGGACATGACGGGTAAGGGATCTCCGACGGTTTGTGTATCCAGTTTTACCGTTTGAATGATAATACATATATGTACGGAGTACTCCGTACATGCATGTCTAGTTTTCTGTGCAACAATTTGCTATACTTTTGTATCTTATCAATCAGAAGAAAGGGAGCATTACCCTAAATTAGGTGCTTTGACATTGTTACCTTATATGTATATGATTATGGATCCTAGAGGTCTGAAAATTGTGTATTCAATATTCCCCATAAATTGTCCAAAACCAATAATGAACTAATGCAATATCATACCCGTGGACGTAACTACGGATAACATAGTTTCTACCGCATTTGGCCAACATTTCCATTTTCGGACATTGAGCCATGGCATTCAATGAGAGTCATGATGTCAATGCTTATAAAAAAATTAGGAATACTTCAACACAACAAAGGTCAAGGGTAAGACAGAATGCATATTGACCCCAATACTGATATTTCACGGAGTAAGTACTGTTACTGTTACAGTGAAGAGACTAAACTAGACTCGAGTGGATATTCTACTTCCAGGGGTCAGGTCTGCTTTTTCTTCTCTTCTTCTCCCCCATTCCTTCTCGAACTTCTCGAATAATTTACTTGGGAAGATCTACCTTGGATGCAAACCTAAAGGATTATCTACAATTTCAATCCTTTATTTTGGACGTTGAACAAGAATTTTCTTCAGCTCTGCGCCCGGCTGCACTAGGGATAATTTCCGAGCCCGCTTTGATCCCCGTCACCTTTCCTGTTCAACTCTTAATTTTTTTTTTTTTCTATTCTATTTTAATTCCGATCTCCCTCAGAACTATCTTCCATTTGAAAAAAAAAGGAGCTCTCAAAAGAAAAGGGAAAAAAAAGCATGCCTCGTTCATGAAAACTTCAATCTTGCGCCGAGAATGCGACCGAACCCACAACCCATCTTCATAGTCATAGGGGACACCAACCGACATACTTGAGGAAAGTGATATGGACATGATGGCACTGGGCTTCTCAGCCGCCGCCTCGGGCTCCGACGTCCATTCCAACCTAGGCTCGACACTGGCCGCAACCTCTTCCTCGTCCCTGAGTTCACTCACGGATTACTCAACATACCCTATAATGCGCCGTGGTGACCGCACCTACTTTCGCGACCCGGAGAACGTCTACCCTTTGCCCTGCGATCTGCCCGAAATCCACCGCCAAAGCCTGCGCACGTTGATGCTGCTACGCGTCCTCGGCGGCCCATTTTGCAACCCCCACTTAGCCAATCGACCCCCCAAACGCATCCTGGAGATCGCATGCGGGTCCGGGCTGTGGTCTGGTCTGTGCCACGAATACTTCACCCGCAGGGGCCATCCCGACGTGGCCTTTGCCGGCATAGATGTTATCTCCATCGCGCCGGATCTGCGCAAGCAGGGTATGAACTGGCAATTCAAACGTCATGATCTACGCCGACCCCGCTTACCCTTCCCGGACGACTATTTTGATTTCGTGTTCATTAAAGATGCCGGCATGTGTCCTTCCAGTCCGGCGCAATCTGCATCGGGTTTGAGCGAGCCCCTGCGCGTGCTGAAGTCTGGGGGAATCCTGGAGGTGTGGGATTCGGATTGGAGCTTCCGTTCGCTCCTGCCCAATCCGGCTCCGGCACGCAAGACAACCTCGAAAGAACAGGAGATCGCCGATGCAACGGCTACTTATACATTCTCCTCCGCCACACCATTCACAAGAGCGCAGAATAAGTTCGTGGTTGACTATAACTCCTGGGTGGAGAAGTCGTTCGACCGTCTGAAATTGACAGCGCTCCCGTGCGCAACGATCGGTCTATCCTTCAACTCCGAAGTGGACTTGTTAGAAAATGTTGACAGTCGCCGCGTTGCAATTCCCCTGGGCGACTTGCGCTGGGAGCGAGACGGCCAAGGCAAGGATTCCAAGAACCGACCACGAAAGGCCCTGACTTCAGAGCAAATCTCCATCCGGCGCACGGCTCTTCTCACCACAATTCAAATGATTGAAGGGCTAGAACCACTATTGATGGAGTCTAGCGGAAAGAGTCGCGACGAATGGGACCGATGGTGGGCTGCAATGACAGCCGACCTCTTGCAGAAAGGCGGACTCGCCAGTGGCGAGTGTCTTGAAGTGAGCGCCTGGTGGGGTAAAAAGAAATGAACCCCTTGAATCAATTTGGAGTTCCGGTGGGCAAAAGTCAAGTAGCGACCATTCTGCACTTTGTATTGGTGATACCCCCAATTTTATTTCTGTCTTTCTGGGTTTCTAACATGCATATGATCTGAACATTTCTGGAGTGAGAGCCATTGGAATATTAGGCCTCACTTCCATATCGCTTTTTCAGCGTTCGGTACCGCTTCAAATAGTACCTGGGTTTTTTTTTATCCTGTCAGTTGCCATCAACGCAAAAATCTTGTGATGGAGGTCAAAATAGTTCTTGCATGACGCCATGATAATGAGGAGTGAATCTATGCACGGTGTATCTAGCCAGACACTACCCCATTATGGGTGCAATGTATAGAGAGAATGACATGTACGAATGATTCCACCGTGCTTCCAAATGATTGTAATCCAGCAATATCAACAGTAAAACGAGGATGGTCGGATGCGGCAATGCGATATAGAAGGTAGGGAAAGGAGGGATGTAGGGACAAGATCTTACAGCGCTTCCACTTCTGCATTAAACAATTAGCAACACATCCTTAACCGCAGCCGATGGATATGAGATCCAGCAAAAAGGGCAGCACCCACCTTTCTTCACAAACTCAGCCCTCGCTATTCCCTTGCGGATCTGCTCATCGTCGGTAATATGAGTCTGACTTGCAAACGCACGGTGTAGGCGATCCCGGAAATACTGATAGCCAAGGGGATATTCCCGTCCTAGGAACAGAAGCTCTATATCTCGGGTTATCAGCATAGAACAGGTGACCGGCTTAAAACCGAAGGGAAATTCCTGGGGGGTGCAAGTCGCTGCATGACGCGTACGACTTCATACCTTTGTAGACGTTAATGACCTGCCGGCGCAGCTCGGGATTTACCATTGTTGCTCCATCCAACAATGATTGTTCTGGTAGAGAGTTGATGATGGTAGAGATGCGGTGCAACGAAGGTAAGCGGCTGAGAAGCTTCCAGGCTTCGGGTGTTATCGGTGACGTGCCTAGAGGAGTTATCTGCATAACATTGTGGATTTCCAAGGTTGCCATACGCCATGTGCTACCTACGTCTGAGGCAATTTAGATATTTTGCTTTTCATTTTATATTCGGTTTATATTCATTCTATATTCACTTATGAAGCCAGAGTAAGACATATTTTGAAATAATATCAATACACCCCTATAGTCACGCGGGGTTCTAGCCGACTTAACCTCGGAATACTGGCCCAAGCTTCTGGTTATCGGTTATCGGAGAGCCGTCCACCTACAGCCCTGATGGAACTGTCTCTCCACGACTACACAACATGCTTCCTCAACCAGCTTTTCGAGTGCAGCTATCTGCCTCAATCTCTCTGTACTCGAATGGCACACGTCGTCTCTTCTCTGCGACTTCTGCAGCCTTGAACGGCCAAAACATCCCCATCCTCGATTCGGTCTCAACTCCGATCAATCCACGATGGCTCACAATGACCAAGCGAAGGATTGGAAAGTGCATGATGTTTGGGATGAACCCAGCTCAGATTGATGAGGGTGGCAAGATTTTGCAGCAATTGGCCAAGGAATGGCGGGAACTGATCGCTGGAAGTGAGGGATTCCTCACGGATAAGAAACGGCGCAGTCTGTATCGCCATAATGTGGTTTGGGGAGAACAGGTATGAGCTCGGAACTATATTGCTTGGTCTATATTCTGGATGAGAGTCATTGATGCTAAGTCTGCTTGTGGTGGATTAGGATATTATGGTGAGAACATTCATGCCCCTTACCTGTTGCGCTAACTGCATGGCCTATCTTGGATTCTAGACCAAAGCTAACCTCGATAATAGGGTATGCACTGTCCCTTTACTTGGAATCTGCTCCTCGCCAATTCATCTATCATACCGTACTAACTAGTGTAAGGTCACGTCAACAACGTTACCTATGTTCGATACGCCGAAACAGCTCGTGTGAACTGGACGCGCAATATCGGCAACTATATCGATACCGCAAATAAGAAAGAATGGATAAACATGCTTGGTAATACGGGTATCGGACTCATCCTGAAGAGTATCAAGGTGGACTACAAATTTGTACTGTATCCCTGAGACCCAAACCCAACACCGCTGGACAGCAGTAGGGCTATATACTAACTACCATTTAGCCCATGGAATCTCCAGACAAAATTACCGTCTATCAAAAGTTGATTCCAGACCCGTCTAGGCATCTTTCAGCCCAATCGGCATTCCGACTCGAAGTCATGATCTTGTCTGAAGCTCACCAACGCCCTGCTGCTCGTTGTTTCGAGGATATCGTCATCTATGATTACAAGAAGAATGGCAAGACTGTCAATATCCCGCCCTTTGTCATGGAGCAGTTTGAGACCATGTGGAAGCAGCAGGAGCAGGAGAAGGTGAACTGGAGGCAGCAGATTGCTAATATCGAAAATCGGGTCCGGAATCTTGAGCTTGGAAGCTGGGATCGGGCTGATGCTGTGGAGGACAATGGGTCTGCGTCACAGTAATTACAACTGGGCAGAAACATTAAAGAGAGGATCATATGTGGCTGCGGAGGACTATATTTCCTTGTCATCCTTTCGGGCACTTGATTGACGGCTGCGGCTCTCTGCGCTTTGTACATACGCATTTTAAGTCTCGATTATACCTAGCTGATAACACACCGGGCGAGGAGGGGAACATGGTCATATTGTTAACACCAGCAGCAGCAATTAACAACATCTCACTTCAAACATGATGGGCCAACTTGGCTTGGGACTGGACTTAACCCAGGCGTAAGTAGTACAAGATAGCAGCAGGCTTGAAGGTGTCACACTATGTATATAGCTAGCTTGGTTTGACCCGTGATCAACAGCAGCCCTAATTCATGATTAGACTGCTGTCTTGGTTGCTCTCCAGGCGCCAACAATGAATTGAACCGTTGTTTTAGGGGCCGATATTGTACAAACATCAGCTGGCTGGGTGTATCATTGATTTTATTTATATCGCCGAGAAACCGTTCGTCTACGGCGCAGTCTACCACATATATGATATAAGGGTCGCACCAGTACAAATCAAAGCAAGACATTAAACCACCTTGCAACTCCACTGCTCAAAGCTTCAACCTCTTCGCAATCTCAATCCCCTCTGCAATGGATCCCACTCGGGCGTCAATCGCATACCCTTCACTCTCCAACCTTTGCAACTCAGCCGAAAGCTCCGACACAGGAAGGGTGAAACTCTCAATAAACTCATTATCCTCAAGATCGGGCTTTGGATTCTGATTTTCCGGAAGAGACATGTCAACTTGAACATAAACCATGTTGAAATTAGCATTGCAGAACCCGGGATCTGGATAAGAATATCAAGTCAGCTAATACTCAGCGGTAAGACGAACAATGGGGTCACGAACCATTGTACATGATACCAGTAGTTTTATCAGCAACACCAATGTACCCAGTCTCTTCTTTCAGCTCCCGGACCGCAGTTTGCTCAATTGTCTCCCCTGCGTCGATCAACCCTGCAGGGAGTTCTATGACGACTTGGTCGATTGGAGGTCGGTATTGTTTCTCCAGGAGGATCTCAGAGCCATTCTTCTTATTCAGAAAAGCGACGATGTTGACCCCATCGACAGGGGACTCTGTTGGTCTTGTCTACGATTTGATTTGATTTGATTAGATCGTAGTAGTTTGATTTATATATAAACTCAAATTCGTACCTGGCGCTCAGCGGACTCCCAGTCTCTTCTAACTCCGTTGGGATCGATGTAATTTGTTTTGACTAATCTTTTCCACTTGGCTTCTTCGGAAGTCTAAAGGCCATAAGTAGCTGAGAGCATAGTCGGACTAGGAACACATACCAAGGGCTCTCGTGAGAGAAACGTGGACTTGAGGTTTGGCATATTATGTATTGACCCCTTAGCTTTTCAGGATAGCACTACCTACAAATGGATAGGTTGTCAGAATTGTCCCGGTTGGTTGGAACCTTCCATGGCGGGCAGGTGCCCGCCGCGGGACACAAGATGACTAATGTGCTGCTGGCCCCGGGCCCCGGGGCCGGGGGCCTGCCCAGCGACATGCCCAGGTTGACAGCCTTCGGAGTGTTAGTTATTTGCTTTCTAACCTAACTACCGTATCATATTATTTTTACTCATTTCTCTTTTAAATTGGAACTTCAAATCATCTTCGCCCTGGACATTGCTTTTGGGAGACGCTTCCTATGAGACAGCAACACTATTCCACACGCATGACAGTGATATAATCGCACATCTGCTCGGTCCACATGATTTCACTTGTATACAACAATGGGGTCAAACCTTGCGTGGCTGTCTGTGGCAATCATACCATTCCAGCGCTGTCGTTGTTTTGAGATTTGAAAAGTTCACCTGGGCGTGCTCTGGGGTTTACCTGTTTCGGTTAGATTTGAGGAGAACGATTCATATATGGTGCCCGGAAGAGTCACTTGAAACGTATATTGGAGTTTATACGGAGCCTAGTCATATGAGACTTCGTTGACGACATGGCATGTCTACGGATATAGTTAGGTACGTATGTAAGTACACAGGTATCTACATACAACCTTGGAAGGATTCAGGTGTAGTAGTAATTTGATAACCTCACCGGCCAGGATCAGCCAAAAAATCTAATCTTGATTCAATTTAAAGTGAACATTATGCGGGGGATGGAATATGAGCCTCGAGTCAAGTATAGAGCATCTTCATGTATTGTGAAAAATCTTATCTATCCCTTGTTCATTCCTTGGTAGTTGTATGTATGGTTTTCTTTCCCTACAATCTCTATTGCCATTACTGGATGAATCGTTTCAGATAACTTAAGCGAGCTTCGGGTAAATGGGCCATATCTTTTTGATACATTTCTACTTTGAGATATACTATATACGCAGCATACATGTGCATACCTGTGCACATAATATTTGCTCTCAGTTTCCCGGTGGTTCAGCCCTGGAGGGCATTCAATTGGGATACATACTGACTACATGCGGCCAGAGTAAACTCTAAAAATATTTGCCTCGTGAGCCACAAAAGATTAGATTGATCAATTGATTGGACTATAAATGGTGTGAGAGTATAAAGCTCTTTATATAAACCGAGCAATGTTCGTAAGTTTAGCTAAGGTTTTATAATTATTACGACCGGAGATCCTGCCACACCAGGAGGCGAGAGCCGGAACCAGTACGGAGTAGGCAAAGCGAAACGATCGACCTTAAAAAAGCCGAAGTTTATCGGACCCAAGAAAAACCCGGTTCTAAAAGAGACTAGGGGGACACGCTAGTGGAAGTGCCGGGCAATTTCTCCAGAGTTATGTACCCTACTTTCTGAACTTTGGACTGGAAGATCTGGAAACCCTAGAAGTCTGAAAAGCCAAAGTGATGGAGAAAGGTGTTACGATATAAGTGCTACGATGGTAGGGCTCACCGCATGCATAAAAATAACCTAAGCCATCACCAAGCCCGGCCGTCGGGCCGATCGTTACTAAGTTTGTGGCTGATCTACAAAACCCTCCAGGGCTGCCAAGTCCGGGTATCATATTAGGAGGGGGAGGATCGGAATTGGCAAAGGCTGTACGGTGTAATTGCATAGATGTTCTAAATGACCATCCTCTTTATAGTGTACATAGTAAATAGATATTTTCACAGCCATATCCTCAAATATCACCTTTTTCGAGATCTAGATTTATATTCGTACTCGTATAGCAAAACCTGTGCGGAGCCCTTCAGGAAGATGCACCAGATAGCCGAGCATGTGATGATCCCAGCAAGAATGTGGCCAACCCTGTTGATCACACACGTTCGAGACACACAAGGTTAGATTCCCCATACTTACTCCCCATGATGCTCTCCATGCTCGGGATTGCGTGTTCATGCCTGCAGGCGCATTTACCTGCAAAAGCAAGTCTCCTAATGGGTAATAACCAGCACCATGATCTGAGAATTCGTGACACATATAATAAGTCCGGCGTAAGGATGACCCCGCAGCAGACGGGTCAAGAAACGGTCGATCGTCAATCCAGTTAGTCAGTTTGACAGCAAACCTTTAGGGACCAATGATCTGAACAGGCTTCCAAGTTGATCTGTACATCGTCGGTAGTACTCCATGGTCACTAGCTTATCAGCACTAGTCAAACCCCGTTTGGAAAAAGTCCGCATAGCGCCGAGGGAACGGAAACCACTCGGTATCGTAAAATTGCCTGGATAAAAGCGAAGATACGCTTAGGATTGGCCGATGTGTAGGTATCCGCGTTGCAGGACTTGGCAACTGTAGCCGTTGTAGCTCCTAGGGGGCGTGACCTGTCAAAAAAAAATCCTGGAGTATTCATAAGATATGTTGTACGGAGGTGTTCAGAGAAAGAAAGCTTGGCAGTTGGTGCTGGATGGGATTTTCCATGCAGAAACTCCAGATCGACAAAGAAGCCACGGGAATTTATTACCAGGAGCTCTCTAAAACTGAATTTGCAATCCGCAGTCATCCAAGTACACAGTACCGAAATGAAATAGTGGCGGATGGTATTGAAGCTAGGTACCGCCTACCCGAAAAGCATTGGAGATCGACACTAAATGACAATACCAATACCAATTCTGTTTCTTTTCGACCTCATACAATTCCACCTGGGCACTTTTTCCCCTTCACGCTTCCACGTAAGAGCCTCGTCTCTTGTCCCTCTCTCTTTTCCTCTCTTTCTCTTTTTCCTTATACATTTACTTCCTTTTCTTTCTCCATTTTCATTACAATACCAGCCAACTCAGCACCATTTCTTTCCCCCCACTATATTCAATTTTAGTCCGTTTTCGCCTTTTTCCTGGTCCCAGTCCTTGGCTTCATCCCGCCAAGCTGACTCGGACCTGGGTTTCGGGCTCCCTCGTCCATGACACGCTCCGCTGCATCTAGGAAGAATCAGAGCAATCGGCAGGAGAATGGCCTTGTCGGTCCCGGCAAGAAAGTAACCAAGCAAAAGTCAAGCGGCCATCTCAACGGCAATTCGGGCAACGGCTCTGCTACCGGTCCGGGCGCGTCCGCTCACTTCGATTTATCCTCCGTGCGGTCGACTAGCGATACGGCCGTAACATCTCCGACAGTTTCCGGCAAGGGGGGAGATAGCACGAAGGCAGATGGCAATGTGCGTGGGATGTTGAATGGACATAGCAAGGGTGGAGAAATGGCAGCCGCACAAGAAAACGGCGATGTCGCCCAGAATGGTGGCATAGCAGGTCATGCCTCTCGCAACGGAACCTCGAAACGATCCGGATCCAATGCCTCGATTAACCCGCTCCAGCTCGCATCCACCATTCTCAAATCGTGCCCCATGTACGACACCATCGCCATCTTGATCTTTTTGCTACAGCTTCCACCAATGGTCTTGACTCTAGTTCAGTTCTTGTTCGCCTCTTTGACTTTCATGCCTCCGAGTGGCGCCGCCGCCGGTTCTTTGTCGTCGAACTTCGATATTTTTCAGGGTCCGGCTGGGACGCCATCTCTGGGGACGATGATTGCGATGGATGGCTTTTGCATACT